CATTCCCTACATTATGCACGACTACGTAGAGAGCTACTTTGATGTGTCCGACGATGGGAACTGCGGATTTCGGGCAATTGCGAGCTATATTTTTGGTGACCGGGAGAAGTACCGGTTAATAAGACAAATTATCGCAAATGAGATTGCGGGTAACATTCTGAGGTACGAACCAATTTTCTTTGATAGGATCGACGCAACGCTCAATCGAATACGCTGGGACGGGGGCCCTTGTGGCCTTAACCACTGGATGGAAACTATGTGCGACCTCTTTCCCGTTGCCACATTTTTTAATGTAGTTGTCGTCTTCGTAGGCATGGGTCTACATGGTGACAATCCCACCTTTTTAGTTCTGCTGTATTGCCACTCGTCGCACCGTCGACGGTTAGATGACCGGAGCGAGAGATTGTTTTGTGTCATCTTGGTTGTTATTCACATTTTATTCGCGTTAATTTGACTCCCGGCCATCCAATACCGCCTATATGCCCTTTTTGGACGACATATCGAGATCGGTTGGTTGTCGGTTGGGAGGACTACTACAAAAATAGAATAGATGCGTGGATTAGGATTCGTGATGTACCTAGGTCTTGATATTCTTATAATATTCGGTTGTGATTATTCGTTAGTTTGAACTTATTTATGTCACTGACTTCGATTTTGAGTTAATGTATTTTTTTAATTATAATATAGTATAGCATATCGGAAATTAAAAAAAAAACAATAAAGCATGTGAATGAGTAACGACATATAAACAAATAACATTTAAACCAACATCCCACCAAACAGTAAATAAAAAAAAACACCCAAAAGTCAGTCGAGTGTAAAAAAAAAAAAAACCAAGTCAACCAAAAGTCCAGCGTATAGTAAATAAAAAAAAATAAAAGTCGATCATAAAACATCAACGCGGCGTCGCTCTCTCCCAATCTGCTCTAACTACGGCCATAGCGTCTACGTACTCCTTCGTCAAATCAGGAAGAGCACGCTCGAACCGTGGTATGAACGCATTGTGGACGTCGTCGAAACGTTTGACCACTATCCACAAATCGAATAGTTACAATAAATATATATTATACTGAAAGCACACTGAGAACAAAAATAAAGTAAACAAAAATAAAGTAAACGACTTACATAAGAGACATCGACGCGCGAAGGGACTGGGGGAGGCCTCGTCGGATCACCACCCAACAGCTTCGGACGAGAAACCTGAGCAAACCACTCGTCGTACGCCGACTCGACCTCCCCTGGTGTAACTGTGGTGAGGGTGTAGGCAGCCAGGTTGACGGCCGACAGCTGCGGGAACTCGTTCCAGGAATCCTCTGCAGCTTCTCCAGAGTGCTCGATCTTGTACAACCTCGACTCCCAAGCCCGTACTACAGCGTATGGTCGACGGATGCCGGGAGGAATACGCTGGACGAAGCCCAATTGACGCAACAACCGCAGAGAATTGTAGGACTCCACGATGTCGCCGTACCTAATGCACCCGGCATAGAGGGTCCTAGGCTCGATATCAGCGGGCTTGATGCGGTCGTACGGCAACCAGTCCACCTGTTCAAAATTGCACAAAAACATTTAATATAACACTCGTATTTTTTTTTAAAAAAAAAATAAAATTTAACAAAATGTAAATAACACTTATAACATTCGCGTACCTGATCAACACTGAGCTTGTCAAGGGCGGTACGGTAACCCTAAAGTCGATCTACGGACCTCTGAGTCACCGGCGTGCTCCACCAGGAAGAACGTGCGGCAACGCCATCTATCGGCCGAGGCGCTTCGTGGGGTCGAAAGGGCAGGAAGTACTCGAAAATCCAGGTCTGCAGGAGAGCCAAGCAGCCAGTCAGTCCCTTGGAGTCCCCCTGTTGGCGATACCTAACTGTCTGTATAGGTATGCCAGTGTAGCCGAGCCCCAAGAGAAGTCCGGAACTCCAGTTGTGCCATCGCTAAACTCGTGCATGACCTTCAGAATAATCCTGTTACCACTCTTGTCTGCAAACAAGGTGGTACCCATCGCCATCCAAAGCCATGCGACTACCTCCTGGTCAGCCGGCCGAGACTCCTGGAGATTCCTTAATGCGCCCGAAACGGCGGCAGTGGTCACCGCGTCGTGATCCCAGTAGTTGACCATCAGCTGTCCCTGGTCCACCCCCAACATCTCCATGCAGTACATATGGAGTCTCTCAGCGGTAGGGTCCCCTGACACTATATGTCCCTCCACGGGAATCCCCAAAATGGCCCGAACATCGTGCAACATGATACTCATTTCACCAAAAGGCAGGTGAAACGAGTTCGTATCGGGCTGCCAGCGCTCCACGAACGCAAAAAGTAGTGGAGTGTCCAGGTGCACATGCATAGCGTCCGCCAGATGTGACATCCCCGACTCATCTATCAAAGCACGTGCCTCGGGACCCATCTCGGCGAGCCACTCCTTCAAAGTGGCGTGCGCTGCATGCCTGTTTTGGCATTTCAAAATGCCTCTAACACGCCGATCTGGCTCAGGCAATATCATACAGGAGGCCACGTGCCCTAGAAAGCTAGGGCTAACGCTCCCGTCACTGGGGCCGCCGGGTACTGGGGCTTTAACGATCCAAGAGTCATCACCCTTAGGTCGTTTGCTACTCGAACATGCATTTACAATAAACAAATAAATATAGATATATAGACGACATATTGTGACTAACTGTATCAATGATATCCTAATACTAAATAAAAGTATATGTAACTAACAGTAACAAAATTAAAGCACGTAGAGTATTTACCAGAGGTGGATCCAGTGCCCGCACAACGGCCCCGATCCTGTCGTGGAGGAACAGGTCGTACTAGTCGTACAGGGGGAGGAGGAAGTGACGTCGTCTGCTCATCTCGAGAGTTATGCTCCTCGCCCTCATCATCGTCCTGGTCATCTTCCCGGACATAATCCTCGACCAGACTCTCGACGATCGGTGTGTAAGCCGACGGCGGACGAATACGTATCCTCAGCGGCATACTGCCCAAACTGCCAGTCATCGATGAGTTGGGTTGTCCACCGCTCTGCTGACCACTCGGTGGTGAATAAACGATAGGTGGCAATCTCCTAGCCATCTCTGCCTGAGCTAGCTGAGCCTCACGGATCCTCGCCTCCCTCTCCCGACGAGCGTCGGCATCTACAAACCGACTCTGCGTGTGTCGGGGTCCTGAACCCTCAAGCTGACCAAACTCCACAAGTCGCTCGGATCCATCACTCTAAATCAACAAATTAAAATAATAATTAAAAAAGATGTATCTTTTTTTATTTATTTTATTAATTATAATAAACAATTTTAAATAATTTTAATAATATTATACAATTTATTATAAATACTATATTTATATATTAAATCAATTTAATATTATATTTTAAATATTTTTTTATTTTCCAAATTTTATATTATTTATTTATAATATTATAATATTTTTATGATTTTTTTATTTTCCAAATTTAAACTTTTTTTATTTGTCATTATAATTTTTTATTTTCTAAATTTAAACTTTTTAATATATTCAATTAATTTTTAACATTTTATAAAATTTTTAAACAAATTAATTATTAACATTAACAAACAAAAATAATACACTTATTTATTTATTTTATTTTAATCGAACAAAATAATTTTTGAAATTTGAATTTTTAATATTTTTTTTATTTTTAATATTTACAATATTATTGTTTATTTTATTATTTTCATTATTTTTTAAAATTTTTCAATTTTTAAATATTAAATAAAATAAATAAAATATATTTATTTTAATTTTGTTAATATTATTTTCAATTAATTAAAAAAAAAAACACCTGGCCGGCCGCCATTACAGGCGGCCTAACCGCCGGTCGGCAGAAATTGCTGACGGTTTTCGGCAGAGCCGGCCGCGATTTAGCCGGCATTTCGGGCCGGCTGTTCCCCTTCCGGCCGGCTTTGCGAGCCGGCTGTAGCATTTTTGGCCGGCACTTTCGGCCGGCCGGCACCCAAAAAAAAAATGTAACAATTTTTTTTTTGATCGAATTTTGAAGAAAAAAATGTACCGATCGAACGAAGTATCCCTTGCCTCCGCGTCGTGGTGGTGCCGACATTTTTTCGGAATTTTTTCGAGCAAAAATCGAGAGAGAGAAAGGGAAGAGAGAGAGAGAGAGAGAGAGA